CGGGCCATGGCGGACACGGTGTCGGTGCACGCGACGCGCTTCGAGGCAGCCGTGAGGGTGATCCAGAGCCTGCCCCAGAACGGTGAGTGCCGCCCCCGCCTGGCACGGCCTGCTCGGCCCGGCGCCGCGCCCGCTGGGGGGAGGGGCGGGCGCTGAGGGGTGGCAGGTGGGTCAGCGCTGCACGGCCCCGGGCGCTCAGCACCCAGCAGCGCCCGCAGGTGCGAGGAGATGAGCGCAAGTTTGGTCCTTTCCTGGCCCTTTTCCTGCTGGCCCCTCTGGAAGGAGGGAGGCACTGTAAGAAAACTTATTTTGTGTTTTAAACGAGGTGCCACTTAGTAACACTCTTGTGCCAAAGTAGGTTGAGAAGCCCTGTTGCAGAGTACGCAGATGTATATATGGAGCACAGCTCTGTGTCACTTAGTCCCCTCGCCCCTGGCAGCAGCAATCCAGGCTGGCATGACAGCGCTGCAGACTGCCTTGTCTGTGGCCAGCAAGGCTAGTGGGCCCGTGGCAGCTATCTTCTCCCCTTGGGGTTCCCACCAGGTGAAGAACTGCCCCATTTTTTGCTGATTGTGAAAGGTGTCCCCTCCCACTTCTTCATCCTCCAGGGCCTGTCATTGGACTCCTACAGTGTCCCCTTGGCGGTGCACTCCCCCCACCCCCTCCACACACTGCTGAAGAAAGCATTTGACCTGTGCCTTGCAAAAACATGCCCTTTCCTGCTACACAGCGCCAGGACTTGCAGAGCCAGCTTCGGCTTAACGGTGTGCTAGGGGTGTAAGTCAACTGCCTCTTCCTGGAGTTGTGAGCCCTGTGTTATTGGAGCAGTTAAGAGTTTCTGATGCTTTCTCCCCATCTTGTGAGAGGAATCCTGGTACACATTAACTAAAGCTGCAGTCTGGCACACTCTTGTTGAGGTTATGGCTGTATCTTTTTTTTTTTTTTTTTCCTCTCTCCCTATATTGCCTACCTTATGCAAGAACTGTTGGTTTCCACAAAGTTACAAAGTCTTGTTTACCTCCTGGTGCTAGCTGAGGTGTTCATCCAAAAATCCAGGGGGAGGAACTGCATCTACTACCATCACCTCTGAGATTCACAAATCTGGGCAAAGTTCATTTGGGTGACCTTGTGCACCAGGCTTCTGAGTTGTGGGTTTTGTCTGGGGCCTTTTGCTCAGCATTCTCCTTGCTCCTGTCCTGTTTCCACCTCTTCTTCCCCTCCTGCCCCCTTCCCATGTTATTTGTTCCAAAGAATCAATTGTGTTGCAGGTTCTGTTGTTCTTCAAAGTCCAGTTGAGAGGGTGGATCCTAGGATTCAAACAGCCCATGTTGTCCCTTGGTCTGATTAGCCACCTGTCTAACCTGGTGACCTGGCTGGGGCCCAGAATGTTGTGAGTTTATAGCTTGCTTATTGGGCCAATTGAAAAAAAACCTGAACATACTGCTCTTTTCTATCATATTAGGACTTGCTCCTGTATGAGGAATTGCTGCATAAACATATACAGAAGGCCCAGCAATTTAAGATTTAGTTTAGTCTTGTTTTCCCCTTTTGAAACTTGCTCTTATATGCTGCCTGAAAATTATATTAGTGTTTTGTCATTCTTGTCTTCAATACAATGTTCTTAGCCTACAGCACAATACAGTACATGTGCATTTTGTTCATATAGGAGGCTTTTCATGAATGTAACCAATTTAGGTTTTTGTGTCCTGCTTTCTTCCATTCCATCCCCAGTGTAAAAAAACCAGGAGGAAGTATTTCCCTAATTGAAATATCAACATTGATTTTTATGGTTTCAGAGCTATCACTGTTTACTCTTCCAACTAAAATTTACAATATGATAAAAATTAGAGAAAAGGGGAGGGAAAGGGTTGTGACACTTCCCCCTTGCAGTTTGTTATTTTTGTTAGATTAAACCAAGATAACTGGAATTTACAGATAAACTGAAAAATTAACCCCAAACTAGCTTAAGGTTGTGTCGTTTTGTTTTGTTTTGTTTTGTGGAAGCCTAATGAATTACATCAACCTGAAAGTAAATTGAATAGTTCAACACACAAGTGTTAAGTGACATGCCTGACTCTTTTTTTTTTGATTGGTTTTGTTAGATTATCTTTATCCTATGTGTATAAATGGTTTTTCTTTTTTCTGTTTGAAACGCCATAAAGACAGGGGAAACAGTAAAATGGAGCATGCTCAAGCTGCTGTTGAATGACCAAAACGAGAATTCTGAAAGAGTAATCTGCTTCTTGGATCTTTCAACAACCATTTTATTTGTTGCAAGGAGAAATAAATTTTAAAAATCCAACAAAACAATGACATGTTGGCTAGTATGTCTTTAAATTGTGTGGAAGTGAACTTGGTTCTAGTGATTTATTCATTTGCTGTTTAGATATGGAGTTTAGTTTGATGCCCTTAAGTAATGCATCCCCCTAATCCAGATCTGAGATTGGCCCTCTACCTGTAAATATTCACTGTTGGCCTAATCCAAAAAAAGGATGAAGCCCCCACAAAATTTACTGTTTTTCTCCGTCTGTTTCTAATAAGAATGTCACCTCTGAGAATCAGGCATTGTATCTTGCTATGAATGACAGAACTGGAAGTCAACTTTCCACAAAAAGTATTAACTTTGTACTAGATTTGTCAATGTCTTTAATGCCAATTTCTATTTATTATTAAATATTTTCACTAGGTTCATTCCAGCCAACAAATGAAATGATGCTCAAGTTCTACAGCTTTTATAAGCAAGCAACCCAAGGACCGTGTAACATTCCAAGACCTGGATTCTGGGATCCTATTGGTAGATATAAATGGTAATTATGTATGAATGACTTTTTCTTTATGGTTTGAACTGAGACTTTGCCTAAGAGCACTGTCTCCCTTCAGTGAACAGAAGTGTCACTTAAAAAAAAAAAAAAAAAAAAAGTCCACTTGCTTGTATAGCATTTATATGGTTTGTTTGGTGGTGGTTGTTGTTGTTGTTTGTTTTTTGTTTTTTTAAGCCTTTGTTTCAGCTTTGAATTTCAAATAGTTTGTCACTTCTTGGAGTTAGGGGTCAGA